GCAAAGTTTAAATTAAACAAAGAAATGGAAATGAGCAGCTCGGATTTAGTAAGCAGGTTCTGCTATGTTTGTTTTAACCTTTACAGTTTGTAGGTATTCTCACAAATATCCCCTCAGTTGACTCTAAACCTCTGAGGTTTATTTTGTCAATTTTATAGACGAGGGAATAGGCTCAGAGGACCCACAGGGCTTGTCTAAGTTACATGGCTTGCAGGCTGGGATTTGAACCCAAGATCTGAATCCAGACTGTATGATCTTTCTACTTTTTTCGTGGATGGCAGCTGAAGATGAGACAGAATTGTTAGAAAACCATCAACAATTTATAATTGGAATTATAGAATCTTCGAGTTGCAAACGGCCTTATACATCACAAATTCCAAACCCCTGCCTCACTTTTCAAAATAGGAAAGAAGGTTTGGAGAACGTCTATGATCTATCCTAAGGCACACCTTCAGTTTGAGGAGTAATTACTCTGAAGCTGCCTCCTCCACTGACGGCCTCTGGTTTGTCCTCAGAGCTGACTCTCAGGTAGACATTGTGAACTGAGCTTGGAGACCAAGCTCCCCTCTACTTTCCTGCATCCGAGGCCCCTGGAAGCCTGGTACCTTTCTGACGGGAGCTTGGCCCTTGGTGAAGAAAATTCGATTTTAATCTGTCTCTCTTTCTGTCATTATTTTTTCCTTCTTTCTTATTTACCTTGCCAGGTGAGGGGTGAGGGTTGTAAAAGAGGCATCCAGTCTTCAAGCTTCCCTGCTCCCTCCCCTGTAAGATCTGGTTTGAAAGTTAACAAAAATAACCCCACTTACCTCTTTATTTATTTACTGTTTTTGAACAAGTGTAACTGAGTCCACTTTTGTTTTTCTTTGTCTGACGTCCGTGGTGAAGACCCTCCAGCTACCTGAGGGTGCACTCTGCACAGAACTCAGCAGAATCTTGCCCTGGTCTTGAAGGAGTAACTTCACTAGGCCTTAGAGAGAAGAGGCTCCATTGTTTGGCCTTGCGCATCGCTCTTGTTTTAGGAGTCAAATCTGACAACAGAAGAGCACAAATATAAATTTTACTAGTGATCAAAGAAAAGTAATGAAATCCATTTTCCACCATCAAATAGGCAAAAAATTAGAGCAATGGATACTCTGTGCTGGCAAGGGGATGCAAAAATGAGCACTGATACACTGCTGCACCTTTGGGGAATGCAGCCTACTGTCTGTTAAAATAAAAAACACAGAGATTATACAGGAGAAATGTAGAGATCAAGGTTTCAGGTAGTAAAGTGATATGTTTAATTTTTTCCTTTTAGGGGACAGTAAATTAGGTTTATTCATTTTTTTTATTTTTGGAGGAAGTCCTGGGGATTGAACCCAGGACCTCCTAAATGCCAAGCATGCACTCTACCACTTGAGCTATACCCTCCCCCATATGTTCAAGAAAGTTTACTAAAGCTGTTTGTAATTACCAAAACCTAAAAACAATTTGAATTTGTCAGGAAATCTGCAATACAGAATACATCATGCAATTATTTTTTTAATGAGTTAGGACTCCATGTGTGTACTTGGAAAGCTGTCTAGGAATAGATTATATAAACGTAGTGATAAAGTTGCAGAATAATATTAATAGAATGTCTTACTTTTGGAAAAAATAAGGTAATCTTTTTATGGGTGTATACACGATTACAGACCTTTCTGGACCGATGATGGGGTTACATCCCAATAAACCCACCATAAGCTGAAGATGCATTTAATACACCTGACCTTCTGAACATCATAGCTGAGCCTAGCCTACCTTACACATGCTCAGAATACTTCCATTAGGCAAAATCATTTAACACAAAGCCCATTTTATAATGAAGTTTTGAATATCTCATGTAATGTATTGAAAACTGTACTAAAAGTGAGCATCAGAATGGTTGTGTGGGTGCTGGTTGTTCACCCTCGAGGTCACGGGGCTGCCCAGGAGCTGCCCAGCATCAAGAGTGTGGTCCTGCAGATCACCAATGTGGTAAAGGACCAACATCCAGAATTGAAGTATGCTTTCCACTGAGTGCGTACCTCTTCTAAATGATCATAAAGTTGAAAAGTTGTAAGTCAAACCATCGTGAGGCGGGGACCATCTGTGTGTGAGTGTGGAGAGAGAAATGGCAGGATTCCGTCTCAGCTAATAAGGTTCGTGCCTGGAGGGTGGAGACATGAACACGTCTGTTCTGTTTGACTTGGTGTAACAAGCATGCTTTGCCACTGTGATTTTTTTTTAATTTAAGTGAAAAATTGTTGAGAGAATGGGTTTGAGAGATAGACAGATGGGTTATCATCTAATTTCTGTCACTTAATAGTTGTGAGAGGTTTGGTAAAGTACTTAACCTCAGTCCTTATCTGTAAAAGGGTTAGTAATGTCTACCTCGCCGTGTTTGATTGAAAGAAGTGAAGGATACAAAGCATGTAACACATTGTAATCCTATAAACGCTAGTTTCTTCTTCCTTCTACACAAGCAGTTTGCAGTAGAGTGTTAACGCATGCAGTATGTGTTGGTTCTGCAGTGTGTGTTATCCTGATGTGCACAGCGTGGCCCTGGCCTACCGGAGGGGTGGATTAGTGTCTCCCTTCCCCCACTTGGTCCTCATAGAGAAGAAGAGTAACATACAATGGTGCCTCAGCCCTCCGGGGGTGACTCACCTGGCACCTGAGTTATCAGTAACCCAGCTGTGATGGAGGGAGAGGGCCTCTGGCTAGTCAAAACGGATGTCTGAAGTTCAAGCTCCCGCCGGGCCATTTATTCTTATTTTAGAAAACCCGAACAAGCTTCTCCAGCGATGATGCTGCAGCAGGCACCCCAAGCACAGCCGGCGGAGGTGGGGGGCGGCGAGCCCAGGGGCGCACGGAAGACTCAGACGCAAACACAGATTGTCAGGGAGCCAGGTGGTCTGGGGCTAGGCCCCGTTTTCACAATGAACAACTGATCCTCACAATGACGATGCTGGATTATTGAGGAAAAACTAATTCATGCTTCGTGTAATCTTGTAAAGGCCCCTTATTAGAGGGTGATACAGTCTAGCAGTATTACCAGCAAAGACGATTACACTTTGCAGTTTTACTACGCAAAAAGTGAATTTTGTTTTGTATTAGTGCCAGAATATAGCAGAGGCCTTCATCCCATGAGGGAAAGACAGAGCAGCTGCCCATGGTTAGAAACCTGCCCCATTGAGTGTGACGGGCATTAGAAATTGTTGAGAAAGGATCTTAACCTGGAACAATGGGATGATTTCTTACAAGTGCATTGTTTGCTTTTTGACTAAAATAAGTTCCACAATCCGTAATCCAAAATCCTTGAGGCCTGGTGAGTTCTGAAATTCAGAATTTTTCAGATTTCTTAAAGGTAGCATGTACACATACCGTATGTGATGTAACAGCCCCGGCAGGGTCTAAGGCAGAACACAATAGTCAAATGTATTAATATTTCTATAGAGAAACACTCATTAGGACAAATAGTATATAGCTTATTTAAATAACAAAACACTAAATGAAACAGTGGGATAGATATAGAATGTAAATACTCTAGTAATCTTATTTCTAAGAAAACATTTTATAAATCTTCAAATATATGCAGTTTTGAATTCAGCTAAATATGCCTATGCATGGCCAAACCCTGAACATCCATCACCACTGGCTGCATGAGCATCTCAGGAGAGGAACCTGAGTGCCTGTCACCAGCAGCAGCTGGAGGTGGCACCTGATGTTTGCAGGAGCAGGACTGAGGGCAACGCTTTAATAGGGGCCATTTTAAGGGCTTTTTCCTGTGTCAAATGTTCCAGCAACCTACGTTTCCATCTGAGCAGTCCCTCTTAAATTATGAAATCATCATAAGCTCATCATGCTCATTGACAGATGTGGAGGGTTCAAGGCTAGCCACTGACTGATCGCACATTTTCACCACGTCATATAGGGATTTTTTTACCACCTGTGTTGACAAATTCATCTTCATCATCACTGTTATCTATATTTAAAACCATTTCACACACCCATTAGGATAGCTATTGTCAAAAAAATCAAAACCACAAGTGTTGGAAGGGATGAGGAGAAATTGGAACCCTTGGGCACTGTTGGTGGGAATGTGACATCGTGCACTTACTGTGGAAAAGAGCTGGAAGTTCCTCAAAAAATTGAAAATAGAATTACCATATAATCCAGCAACTCCACTTCTGGGTAGATACTCAAAATAACTTAAAACAGCATCTCAAACAGATATTCGTACACTCATTTTCACAGCAGCACTCTTCACAATAGCTAAAACATGGAAGCAACCCAAATGTGCATCACTAATGAGTGGATATACAAAATGTAGTACCCACATACGACGGAATATTGTCCAGCCTTAAAAAGGAAGGTGATTCTGCAATATGCTACAACAGGCATGAACCTTGAGGACATTGTGCTGAGTGAAATAAGCCAGCTGCACACAAAAAAGACAGACACTATATGATTCCACTTATTTGAGGTAAAGTACCCCAAATCGTAAGACAGAAATGATAATGGTGGTTGCCAGACATTGGGAGAGGGAAGGCTGGGGAGTTACTATTTATAAGTAAAGAATTTAAGTTTCAAAAGATGAAAAAAGTTATGGGGATGAATGATGGTGATGGTTGTACAAAATGTGACTGGATTTTAGTACCACTGAACTGTACACTTAAAAATGGTTAAGACGGTAAATTTCATGATGTATTTTACCACACAAAAATATATCCATACAAAATCTTAAAAAAAAAAAACATGCTTAGGCCATTTCCCCACTCAAGACATGCATAGCAGAAGCACTGTGGTCAATGTGAGAGATTTCTTTGATGTCAGCTTAGTTTATACTTTAAGCTGATAAACTTTTGGCATGAGGCAGTCTTCTCATTAGTGATATGAAATCCTTCAAAGTCTTCATCTGTAAATTCAGTTTCTAACATCACTGTAAAGCAAAGTCTGTGCCAAGCATTTTTATAAACAGACTTTTAATTTTGGAATAATCTTAGATTTTCAGAAAAGTTGCAAAGATAGTACAGAGGTCCCCTACACCCTGTACCAGTCTTTCACTAATGTTAAATAACCATGGCACGTTTGTCAAAACTAGGAAATTAACAATGGTATGAACTGCTATTCCTCGAAGCCCACACTTTAGCAGATTTCACCAGTTTTCCCATTAATGGCCTTTCTTCTGTTCTAGGATTCAATCCAGGATACCTTGTTGTGTTTAATCATCACGTCTCCTTAGTCTCCTCAAGTTTACGGCAGTTTCTCAGTTTTTCCTTGTTTTTCATGACCTTGAAACTGTTGAGGAGTGCTGGTCAGGTATTTTGTAAAACGTCCCTCGATTTGAGTTGGTCTGATTTTTCTCACGATCAGTGTGTGGTTATGCATCATAGCAATGACAAGCATTTTTAATATTGATTTATCAACGTAATTCCAAGCCTTGGCAACTGTGTTAATGGCATCCTGGAGACTGAAATTTCCCGAGAAGTCTTTGTCTCTGGGACCCTTGTTCACAGCAGCAAGCAAGCACCTAGGACCATTTTTGTCTTATTTCTTAAATGACTTGACTTGTTCTTCCCGGAGGGTAAAATGCCACACTGGCATCACAAGAAGTTCAGGACAGGCGAGTGGAGGACTTCTCTAGGGACAGCGAAACCTCACAGCCCTTCCTGACAAGCCCGTCTGCCGCGAACGCCCGTGGCTGTGGTGAAATTGTTACTGACCCGTCACGGTATTTCTCTGGATACTGTGTTTTGTCTTGTTTTGTTTTTTGGCGGGGGAGGTAATTAGGTTATTTAAATTTGTTTTTAGAGGAGGTACTGGGGATTGAACCCAGGACCTCGTGCCTACTTATCATGTGCTCTACCACTGAGCTGTACTCCCCCCACCACCCCGTTGCTGTGTTTTGTTTGCATGGTGAGTTCTGTACACATTTCCAACGTCTTGGATGCTGCCCTTTCTGGTTTTGTGTATCGACAGCATGGGCGACAGTGACATACCCAAAGCTCTCGGATCTCACTTCAGCTCCGTCACTGTTTGTCCGGGACTGTGTCTCCAGGAAAGATCTGTTTCATCAGCATTGCAATTTGCTGAAGAATGAGTTGTTTTTTTTTTTAATGAGCTATGCCGTATCAAATTCACTATCAATTTTCTGACACTTTCTGATCATTAGAAGCGTTTTCCAGTTGATCTTCAGGTTACTTTACACAGCGATGCGCCTCAGTCTCTGTAGCTGATCTAGAAAAGGTTCTCACGCACACTTCAGGGTCCGTTCTTCACGGCACAGTCTAGCGAGATTCTGGTCACACGTTCCCTTTACATTGGAGTCACGCAACCAAAATATGGTCCAGATCTCAGACTTCTGTCCTAAGCAGTGTTCTCTATTTTTGTTTTTGTTCATCGTCACTATACACCTTAAACGACTCCTGTTTCTTTAAGTTACACATAATAATGCTTCTGCGCCATGATCTGCATTGAAATGCCTCACAGACACCAGGCTCAAGCTTCTGTAAGAACCTCACTCTCTCCTGCTGTTCACGGGAGACGCTTTTCTTTTTATCTTCTCGCTGTGACAACAGGGTATCCTTGACTCTGACGTTTTCATGGTTACAAAAGAACAACAAAAAAAGCAACAAAACACCAGCCCTCGGCAGATATTTCGGGAGGAATGTTATGACACAACTTAGTTCATGCCAGACTTTGCTGCAAAATAAGTTTTGTGCCAAACTTACAGAATAACTTTTGGTTTTAAGAGCTTTCAGTCTTCAGAATTACAAATGAGGAGTGTGGGCCTAATTTTTTGAAAGAAATATTTTATGTAATGAAAGAAATAACAGCTCCGTCATACATTCATTAAAAAATGTTTCCTGAGCACCTAGGATAGTGTCTCCCATTTTTCTTTTTTTTTTTTTTTATTTAATTTTTAACCAGAGACCCCTTCAGCCTTGGAGCTCTATACAGACAACCGCCAAACAAAGCTTCTGACCGGCGTGGTCAACCAGTGTAACCACATGGAAATGATGTCATTTAGAGAGACAACCTATTTTGACTTGTATACCAATTCAGGTTCTGCATAAAATTTATTAGCTTAATATATATTGTAGCTTAAATATATATTGAAAATAGCATCATTTCCTCTTGCTGGTTTTACTGGAAGTCCAAGGGTCTTTGGCTGCAAACTGCCACACACGTCTCGGGTTCTGCACCCAAAAGTAAATGTCCAGTCCTTGAAAGTTCCAAAGTGAGTCACGTGTGGGCCACACGTACAAAGGGGAGGCATGGGTGTCCGTGGATCCGGACTTGACTGGCAGTTTAGAATGAGACCTGAGTAGTTCGTGGACCTTGCGCTCACAAGGCTTTTTAGCAAGTAGAAGCAGAAGTGGGACTTCCGAGGAGGAGTGACGGGGAGACCAGGGGAGAAGTGGGAAGCCCTCACGGAGCACGTGACACCTGTACCAGGCCTTGCAGGATGGGAGGGGTGTTAGTGGGTGGGTGGAAGAGAGCGCTAGGGACCCCCCACCCTGACATCTGTGGCCTCCTCCTTCCTCAGCAGATCTCCTTATGTGGCTGAAAGAAAGGCTACGTTTCCCAGCCTCCCTGCAGCTGGGAGAGGCCATGACTGACCTCTAGCCGGGGGCGTGGAAGCAGACACAGGGCGCACAGCCTAGGCAGTGATGCGTAAAGGCGGGTGTCCGATGGTCGCTGAGTAGCTGAGGGAAGTAGCAAGATGGTACAGAAAAGAAGAAATAAAGCCTCATGCAATCGCTTAGAGCCTGAGGGAATACTTGCCCCTCTGCTGTTTCTCAATAGCGATTCAACCCTGAATCGAGGGGGTCCTAGCACAACAAACAGCCCAGCCAGAACCTTGTCCTGTGGGATCAGTACCACCTCACGGCCAGAAAGTTCCTTAATAGAGCCACTGTCCACTCATCCATCCATCTGCGGGGGAAGGGCCAGTGCCCTGCCTGTAACACCTCATAAATAGCCCAGTCCCTTTCACATCCCGGCTGTCACCCTGTCAGGCATTTACGTGTATTTAGTCTTTCCATTTAAAGGGATTACTACAGAGTACGCCCAATTTTAGCTTACTTTACCTGTTACAGAACAAAATCAGCTACAAAGAATAAACAGGAGACAAACCACTGCAGAGGGTAGTGTCAGGCATAGGTTCCTGTAATAAAAAGTAAGCCCCACTACAGTAACCTAAGGATGGTAGTCCTCTGGTTTCCACCTGTTGCCAAGAAGCCCCATGTGAGAGCTTCGGAGGCGTTTACAAATGTCCTCCCATGAGCCTTACATCCTCTGGGAGGTTTCACACACTTACTGGAATTTCAGCTACAATGTTGCTATTGTGTAACTGGAACCCACATTTCCCAGTACCCAGATTAGTATGTTGTCTCCTCATGTAACAACTGGAAACATAGAAATAAAAGTAACTTCTGCCAAAATTGACAGTAAAACATATAAAGCTTTGGGTCTGAAGTGGGTTATTTTTGTATAATGACCAATGGTATTTGAATGACCAATTAGTATCTGAATTACCAGTAGGTGTGTTAGCAATGGCACTCCCCAAAACTGGTTTTAAAATAGAAAACATAACCACAGAGTATCTCCAAGAAGAAATTTAGTGTGTCAACACTACAGAGATTTTAGAAAATGTCAAAGACATGCAGATTCTATTTTTTAAAAGGGGGGCAGAAATTTTAGTTGGAACATAAAACTAATGTCACCTAGCTGTCAAGTCCTCCCCTAAATGTTATGACCTCATGCATTAACGTTTACCAATCCAATTTTTTGACAAGGTGTACAAGAAAGAATCCTTAAGTTTATTCACTTTGCTAAGTAAGGAATGTAACATATGTCAATTCTTCCATTATGTTTGCTTCTTAAGAGCAAGAATATTAACAGAAGTTTGGTTATGCTAACAGCCCCTCAGGTTCCTCCCCAGACCTCTGGGGCTACAAATTCATTCTCTAGCACATGTTGCCAAATGCAACATGGTTTTTGTTTTTTGTCAGGTTTTTTTTAAATTGCAACGTGTTTGAATCAGCAAAACTTCTGTCAAATGTTTTTGGGTAAGTAAAACTTTTTTTGTAAGTTGTTCCTTAGTTCCAAGATTTTCTAATTTTTCTGGATTTCTGGATAGATATTTGTATTTCTTTTTTTCCCAAAAAAATATACTGCCTGACTTGTAAAACCCAGGAACTTCCAAGGGCATGGTACTAACCAGCTTGACTCCCTTCCTGATCAGTGCCATTGATACAGTCTGGGCTCATCAGGGAGACAAAGCCAGCTGGTCTTCTTGTCCCCTGGGGCCCAGACTTGGTTTGAAGCAGAGAACCCTGGCCGGGCTTCCCTGGCTTTCAGAGATAATAGTGACAGGGTGGGTCCTGGGAGGCTGGTTGAGGACTAAGCTTTGCAGGGAAGCCACCACATCAGACTCTGTTACTATTATTTTAGAGGTTTCATTTATCACAGATAAAGCCTGGTTTGCTCTTTAACCACTAATCCATTTTTCATCTTTGCTGACTTCTCTAGGGTGAGCTGCCTGTTAGAAATGCAAAATCTCTGGCCCCACCCAAGACCTACTAGATCAGAATGTGCATTCCTAATAAGGTCTCCCATGTGATTTGCTTGTACATTAAAGTTTGACAGCACTGGGTTAAGGGCCCTGAGGAGACTGGAGAATGGGGAATAGTATAGAGTTGACCAGAAGCACGACAGGACGGCCCAACAGTGGGCCTGAGTTACCTGAGCTTGTAACCCTGTGTCTTGTGGTCCTGATCCCCATAGCTGTGTGATATCCTCTAGCACCTCTTAGGCAGCTCAAGCATAGACACAAAGTCCTGCATTCAGACTGACATGAGGTTGAGATCAGCAGAAGAGGCACATCTGAAAGAGAAAAGATTCAGAGTTGATCATGAGAATGGCCACAATGATGCAGAATGGTGTGGAGTCTAGGTAGGAAGGAGGGTGGCCATGAAGGAAGGGGGTGACAGCCTGTGTACTTCTAGTAGCTTGAAGCAGGTGAGCTGAGGGGGGCTGCATGGCAGAGTAGTGGTCTGAGATTGCTGCACAGGAGCTGGGGAACCACTGATAGGGCTAGAGAAAACTGCCCAGTAGAATGTTTCTAGATGATGGAAATGTCCTGTATCCGAGCTCATATAGCATCCCCTAACCACATGTGACTACTGAGCACTTGAAACATGACTGAGGAATGAAATTTTAAATTTTATTTGGTTTTAATTAAGATAGCTACATGTGGCTAGGGGCTACCATATTAGACAGGCCAGGTCTAGAGTTTGCAGTCTTATGGGATCCTAAATTGTCAATTTGGGCAGAAGTTTTTACTTCAAATATAAATTTGTATGTTAAAGAGGGATATCTTAGTATTTTACACCTAAAATTAACTCAAAGACACAGAACTCAAGGCATTACCTCTCAGCTGCATAGAACCCATGATCTGATGAAACAGATGACCGAGGCAGTACCACTCAAGGAAGGAAAGAGATCAAGATAGAAGGATGCAACGGAAAACAAGCCAGGGAGAGCCACACTCTTTTCTGGCTGGTCACCTGAAACCAAGAGGGAACTTTACGGTGGGTGGGCCAGCACCTCCGAGTCCCAGCGCGGCAGTCAACCAGCGGCCTTCGAGAGCTGGGGCCTGTGGCTTCCCGCACGCAGCCAACTTGTGCTGCCGATTTCCTCTCCCAAAGAGAGGTTTAGGGCTCTCTCCTTCTGGGGAAGGAGGGGGACTGGGTTCCGGTCCAATGAATTCCTGACAGTACAGTCCCCTCTTCTGACACCTGCTCACTACACCGGGGGTTCGCAACCTTGGCTGCCTAAAAATCACACAGGCAGCTTGAAGAATCCAGACTCCCAGCCATCCTCCAAGATTCTGATTTAGTAGGTCTGGAATAGAACCAAGAAACTGAAAGAAAAAAAAAAGTTTTAAGTAGTATTAAATATAAAAGAATGTACACAGTGAAAGTGACTCTCTCCAACCCCAGTTCCTAGACCCCAGTTCTCTCTAGAGGAAGTTTTATGTCTATCCTTTGAGAGGTATTAAATATGTAAGTATGTGTGTATATGTCTTTTAAGAATTGTGAAATATCCACCTGTCTTATTTAAGAATGTATAAAACATATCTACAGTCTTGTACGTAGGCTGAGAAACAGGACAGAGACCTGTCTGGTCACACCCTCTCCCCTCCCGGGTAACCACCATCCTAACCTGGGTGGTAATCATTCCCTTGCTTTATTTATTTCTGCAGCTAAGTATGCTCTCCCAAATGTCATATTGTTAGCTCAGCCTAACTTGCTTGAGTGCACCACACTTTATCCAGTTTACCACTGGTGGACATCTGGGTTATGTCCAGCTTCTGGCTGTTGGAAAAAAAATGCTATCATGAAAGTTCTGCTGCCTGAGTCCTGATGCACGGAAGCACACATTTCAGTACGGTCTACACCCGGAATGGAACTGCTAGGACACAGGTGTGCATATCAACAGCAGACCATGCACTCCATACTGTCAGCGCCGAATTTTGGCCAATCAAGTGAACGTATAATTGTATTTCATTGTGGCTTTAATTTGCATTCCCATCATGATTAATGAGGTTTAGCATTGTCTCAAATATTACTTGGCCACTTGCATTTCCTCTATTGTGGAGTTCCTGTTCAAGGCTTTTAACCATTTTTCAATTACATTTTTGAACCCTTTTGTCAGATTTCTTTATGTATTCTGGATACCAGTCCTTTGTTGATTGTGTGTTACGAACATCGTCACCCACTTTGTGGCTTGCCTCTTCACTCACTGGAGCCTTTCTTTTTTTGAAGTCATTTTAGATTTACAGGAAAGTTGCAAAAATAATACCTTTCATCTAATTTCCCCCAACATTAAGAACATATAACCACAGTACAACGATCATGATCAGGACATAAACACTAAATTAAATCATCTTACTGCTTTGGGGGCGGGGGGCGGGTAGGGACGAGTGGCAGGGGGCGCACTAGTGATGCTGCTGCTGGCCCTGTGACAGCCTAGCCCCTTGGAAGCGGGCCTGCTGAACATCTGCTCCGCAGCAGCCATTCACTCTTTCATCTCAAGCTGCTCCGTCCCAAGTCAACCTGCATGACCTTATTTTCCTCTTTGGGGTGACCCCTCTTCACCCCTTTCCCCAATCTTTTCATCTCAGCCCAAAGTCTCAGAGGTGATATAAATGTGTCTTGAAATAAGCTACAGTTCTTCTACAGAAGGCTGCTCTTCCTCAAGGATCCATTAACACAGGAGTTATTCTCTGTGCTCCTGTTCAAGTGCTCTGAAGGTTTACTGGCCTGTTTAAACTGCAGCGCCCCAACAGGGCATCAGGGGACCGCAGGGATGCCCGAGGTGTCCTAAAATGTTTATGTAAGATTGTGTCTGCATTTATCTGGCAGAGGAGCCATCAAGAATTCACCAAGCTTGCTTTAAAAAGGCTAAGAATCAGTGTATTAAATTCTATATTTGTTTTTTAACAAGGATTGGCTGGAGGGAAAAGGTCCCGGCTGGGAGTCACCCTCCAACTCATGTTCACGCAAATGATTATTGATTTTAGGTGAAAATTTAAATATACTAATTCTACACAAGTTTTTTGTACAGCATTTATTTTAAAGTGCATCTTAAACATATCTTTTGGACAAGTAAAACTAAAAAGCAAGTATTTAAGTTAGCTGTACCTAGTTTTAAGACTAATGACTATAAAGATAAAATAAGAGAATTTGACAAATGTGAAGTTAAAGAACATTTTATTTACTGACAGATTAAAAACCGTGACTCCAGGTAGTGCAAAATACACCACTGAACCCAATTACAAAGAAATGGTGTTAATATACAATATTTAAGCGATGCTACACTTATTTTTGGCAAAGTGCTGTATTGTTTAGTCTGTGTATAAAACTGACCATCTGTGAAACAATCAGTATAAAAGTTTTCTATAAAAACAGAAAAAAAATTTAGACAGTGGCTCAAGAAGACGAGCTGCCATTTATGCATAGATTGATGTACAGTATAGAACCTAATTAGACATCCCTTTTGAGTTTTCAAGTTGTCAAAAAAAAAATTGTGTCCAGAAACACAACAAGAAGGCACATGGTACAACCTGCAATACGCTTCAGTCTCTAGTACTGATGCCCTGCCCTTGAAAAGCAAATGTGTTCACAATTTTACTTGAGGAAAAAAACAAAGCCGCTTTAAAAATATATATATATAACACACACAATTATTGATTAAAGTTCCAAACCTCTGGAGGGAAATACAACCAAAAAGCAAGCAAAACCACTCACACACACCAAGCCTGGAAACACACACATCTAACCTCACCAAGTACTGGTTCAGTTTTTGGAAGTCCACCTAGAAAACAAATACTAAAACTTCAGGCAAATACAGAGCAAAACTGGACATTTAACAATTACACTATTAAAAAAATGTTTTAAGGAAAATCCTCAATGATACACAAAACATTATCCACTTAAGCTGCCTTCCTTCTAACAGTAACTTCTCCTCCCACATAACGGATACTGTTGCAAATAGAAAAAGATACCCTTATCTGTATGCTTTCCAGGACCGCATTCTCCGTCCCAAACCACTGTAACTGGTGTCAAATTTCAAGTGAAACTGGTACATGGCAAGGCAAGGCTGACACCATTGTATTAAATGTAAGTTTTCTAAATAAAGCATTTTATATAAAACTTTAAGCATTAAAATAAGTAGCTAAGGATGCCATTTCTAATACATCAAGATGGCTGATGGCGGTGAAACCATCCATGATAGTAGCCCAACTTCTTAGAGACTTTAACCAGTGGGCATGAGACTTGTAAAATAAAAAGATGATTTTAAGTAACATTACAAACATATGCTAGTCTCTCCAGGACAAGGAGCAGTCTCTGAACTGATTCTAGGAACGAAAGCTAATACTTGGAACCTCTTACAACTCTCTCCACTAATCTATTTAAACTTAAATGTCTATCTTCTAGTTGGATTCCTTCATTTTTTTGTTTGTTTCCAACTCAAAGAAAACGAGAATAAGAAAGATACCCTTCTTTGCTCTTTTTTCTTAAGAGTATATAAAGAATATATTTTCTTGAGGAAGAGAAATAGCAAAGACATTCAGATTCAACGAAGACATAAAGATTATAAACCAGTGTACTACACAGATTTGAGAAGTAAAAACATTAGGCAATGCTGAATGGCCCTCTCACGTTTTAAGTAAACTGTCATCTCAACTAGAATCAAAGCACTGATACAACACAGAAGGTATGTAAACAGGAAGTTTGCCTGGGAACTGGAAAAATGCGCAGGAAATGAATACAAAAAAAGCTCCCTGGAACAGTAAGTAAAAAAATCCAATCACTTTGCACCTTCTGCAAAAAATTCCCTACCCATTCAACCATATAAATTGCCAGAGAAGATAAACAATGGATGGTTAATCTTCAACTTTACGGTACAGTTCACAAACAAATTAGTTGAGAAAGAAAAAGTAATAAACATAGGATATACATTATAAAATGTTTTATTAACGAAAAACACAAACTTTGAGAAACTGGTGCATTATAAAAACGAAGAAACTCATTCATGAAGCAGTGCTGCGTGCACCACGTATTCCAGACTTTTTCCAAGTAACATTCTATATTATCAGTTTAGAAACAGTCAGAGCACTAAGTTCAGATGGGTCTTATTTCTCACTGCTTGAATTTTTAAGGGATATGCTTTGAAGCACATTGTAAACCACTACTATTTACAACAGCAAAAATAATAATTAACTTATAATAAGTTGCATTTCAGCCATGCTTCAAAGAACACTTATCAGGTCAGCATCACTCTGTTATTCCTGGTCTCGTGTCTTGCACGTAGAAGATCCCTAACAAGCGGTGAATGACCAAGAACTTCAACTGCCGTATGCAACTGCTTTCTTCAATCCTTACATGTGCCAATTTTAGACAGAAACCTTAGATACTGATACAGAAACCACAGTATATCACAGACGGTGTGTGGTAACCCTTCCCCTGGAAAAATATCCCCAAGGCTGAAATCGTTTGTTTTCCAGGTATAACACATTAAAAACTTGGCCCAAGTAAGGCAAACAAAAAGTCAATAACTGATAGAGATGTAAATGTATTTAAGGTATCAGGAAATCTGAAAAAAATAATAGTAAAAAAAGACCATTGCAGTTTTATACACAAATCTGTTCATGCTGCCAAACAAATTCTCATGGCTGAACTTCTGCAGCGCGTGAGGTACTAACAACTTGCATTTAATATATGAAAAAGGAGACCCCCATGTATTCAGAGGCTTACACCCAGAAAACATTGAGCTGGTCTATGCTCAAGTTAGCAACACACGGCCCTTTAACAGTC